TAATGCAAAAATGACAAAAGTTCTTTAGAAATTCATAGAACGAGACGCTAACTTACGCCTGTGCATTCCACATGATCGACTTGATTCTAAAGATGACTTTTCGGTTAATTAGAGGCAGAAAAAGATGTCGATATCAAACAGTAAAAGAATTCTCCTTTCGCTTCGAGATTGCTAGCCTATTCGTCTTGAGCCGAAGTGTAAGTAGCTTGCAAAGAGGGATCAGTTCCCCAACTGGTATCAATAGATAGGGCTGCAAGTAAAATAACCAAAAGCGGTTGAGAGTGGAAGGAGTTAACATCCCAGCTCGGATTATTCAAAAAAATTCATAGCTTTAAAAGACAAAATATTAAGCTAAGGTTTGGTCATATATTCACAGTATTTAGTCAAGATACACAAAAAAAAAAAATTAATTCAAACACCACTATTATAAAAAAATAATAATAATAACTATTACAATTTGTTTTAAAAAGAACGTGAAAAGAGAGAATATGCAATTATGTTAGTTTCTGATCTTTTAACTCATAAAAAAGCCAAAAGATACATCACACAGAAAATTTATGTAAATTCAAAATTTTAGGTGTGACACATAAATTAGAATAAAGATAATAATAATAATCTAAGTATATGCACTTTTGACCAAATATCAATACACACAATTAGTACAACAAAACCTTTCATATTGCGATAATATCTCAAACGATACTCAATAACTATACTCAATTTTGTTTTAAAATAATATAATTTAGGTTTAAAGGCTAGTCAAATTGATTCTCAATTAGAAAAAATGACACTTAGTAATTTGAAACATATCCAATTTAGTTCTGATATTTGGCTTGAACTTAATCAATGAAATTGTTAAGGATTTAACTTTCATATTACCAATGTATGTTAACATGTTGTAGCGGGTATATGTTTGTCTTGTTTTCCGACTCACTAATCTCAATTTTTTTGAATGTTTTACTTGTAGACGATAATTCATATTTTAGATGATCTGATACTGTAAAAACTCATTTACGCTGTCAAAGCTAAACTTTTTTTGCAAGTTGTTCATTTGCAGGTATATCAATTGTCTATTGGATCGGAGGTGCGTTTTACCTTAATTGGCCAGCTGATAGAATATTAATTCAAGTTCTTGAGATGATTCAACTGATCCTGTCATTAAGGTCCAATTAATACCTTAATTTTCCATTTGTAGGAAGGAAAAAAAATCTGTTTTCTAATAAAATATTTCTAACGAGAAAATATTCTCAAAAATATTGTCGTACTTGTTTTTGAGCCTCCAACAATGTTGGGCTGAAGGATCCAACACCTTATCAAAAATATATTTAAAGAGTCTGAGTAATATATCTCGCACTATCACATTTTAAGATATATTGATTGTATCGGTATATATAACTTACGATTAACTTATACACATTGATTATATAAAAAAAATAAAAAAATTACCTATTATCTACCTTGTTTTCAAGATTATGATCCTATAAATATCTTTTGGATGACGTAATAGAGTATAAGTGCTAAACATTTATCAAACAACATTCACAAAGAGAACAAATTAAAAAAGATGAAAACTAATGTCTCAAAGTATAATTAACAAAGTAGTCAATGATAGGAAATTTTAGGTCAATTATATTCGTGCATGCAAATATTGGATTAGGATGATTCATGACTTGCGACATTTTTAATTATTTTTTTTCTCTATTGGCATAAGTTTTGTGTATTAAATACATATCATCTTTATCAGATACATTACTATCTTCTAGCTAAATATAGAAGATACAACATAAAAAAAATTATACAAAAAATGACTAAAATTCAGTCATATATGTATAAGCCATTAAAAAAATTCAGACATGGTGGAATTGTGTATTAAATACATATCATCTTTATGAGATATTCCCTCTGTCCCTAATTACTTGTTCACTTTTGAATTGACACACCTATTAAGAAATCAATTATTGACATAGTGAGTTTACCATTTTACCCCTATTAATTATGAAGTGAATGGATTAAAAATTTAAGATTTTCAAAAAATTCTACCTTTTTTCAAAGTAATTAATATAATGGGTAAAATTATTTTGTCCTTTCTTGATTTGTCAAAATGGACAAGTAATTAGGGACAACTATTAAAGGAAAAGTGAACAAGTACTACTATCTACTAGCTAAATATGCAAGGTACAACATAAAAAATTTATACAAAAATAACTAAAATTTATTCATATATGCATAAGCCATTAAAAAAAGGAAAATTGTATAATAGCAAACTATTAATTCAAATTGAATGATATATACATAGTTTGATTTAATTGTACCCCATAGCAAACTGTTGCTATTTCGCGCCTCTCGCTTTAATACAAACACAAATGTATAAAATGTGTTTGTGTTTGTGTTTGTATAAAGCGAGAGAAAATTGTATATATACATATTTTTGTTCCCCTCTCCCAGATCTTGCTCGCCACTCTCACTCGTCTCTATCACTTTATACAAACATAAATGTATACATTGCATTTGTGTTTGTATAAAGCGAGAGAAAATTGTATATACAAATGCATATATTTTTCGTCCTATACACTTATGATTATACAAATACGATCTTCTCTTGCCCAGTTTTCTTTTGTCTTTCTCTCTTTCTCACTTTATACAAACACAGATTATACAATTGATCTTTTGTATATGTACAGATTATACAACTGCTTTCTTTTGTATATGTATAGCGAAATATACATATTTATGTTTGCTATAGAGCGCAATTGTGCAAACTATAGCTATAACATACAAATATGATTTTTATATTTGCTATTTGTGAAAGTTGCTCTTGAAAAAATTCAGACATGGTATATATAAGATTATTATATGTATTCTAATTTTCTTTTGATTTTTTCAACGAAACAAAATTAATTGATTTTTTTATAATAATGTTCAAATAAATTAGTAAGGTTGACATAACAATACCCTTCCCATGCATCTTGATATATGGTCGTCGTCTTTAATTTGTCTACGTGACATGGCTTCAATATAACAATTTATTTGAATATAAAATAATCTAATGTTTTTTCTAATAAACAAAATTGAAATGAAAAAAAACGTTAAATTAGTAAGGTTAACATATATATAAATCTACTACTTATATATAAGTGTGAATGTGAGGGTATTTTTGGTATTTACTAGTTTTTGCTCCTTAAAACTTTTGTATGTCAATGCTTTATAATTGTACCTTTTCTCTTTAGACAAAAAAAAACCAGCCAACATCTCCATAATGACACATATATTCATCAAATATACTACTCGTTAATTAATTTAAGTGGGCCCCACAACCTTTCTCATGGCGGCTGACCAATACTGTTGTGTTTTTCTTTATTTTAATTATCATGTGTCGCTATTTTTCCAAAGTAGTACTAGATATATAATAATTAACAATTTAGTATGCTTAAAAATAGTAAAAACTACACTTTAAATTCTATCAATGCCATATAAATTACGATAAAAAGGTAACATATAATATTTAAATATATTTTAAAAAATATAAGTAATACTATACTTAATATGCTTAAAAATAGTAAAAAACTACATAAAAAGTACTACATATTATATTACAATAATTAACAATTATTTGACACTTTAAATTCTATCAATGCTATATAAATTAGGATAAAAAACCTAACATATAATATTTAAATATATTTTAAAAAATATAAGTAATACTATACTTAATATGCTTAAAAATAGTAAAAAACTACATAAAAAGTACTACATATTATATTACAATAATTAACAATTATTTGACACTTTAAATTCTATCAATGCTATATAAATTAGGATAAAAAACCTAACATATAATATTTAAATATATTTTAAAAAATATAAGTAATACTATACTTAATATGCTTAAAAATAGTAAAAAACTACATAAAAAGTACTACATATTATATTACAATAATTAACAATTATTTGACACTTTAAATTCTATCAATGCTATATAAATTAGGATAAAAAACCTAACATATAATATTTTTCAAAATTATGTTAAAAAAAAGTACTACAAATCACAATAGCTAACAATTTAAAATATTTTTAAAATCATATAAAAATTTCAATAACTTCTCAAATTCCATAATATGACATAAATTAAAATAAAAAAATAATATATATTGGGTCTCGTGCTGACACGGGGTCCTATATCTAGTAAAGGTAATAATTGTGAACAAGTTAAAAAGGGTATTTTTGACCAAATGAAATAAGAAGAAATTGCATGTTCTTCATACTCCCATTTACAGAGGGCTTCCATTTTTGTGAAGTTTCCATTAATTCGGTGTTACTATAAATTTTAGGGATAATTGTACAGAATGGCAAATTTATAATCTAAAATAAATGGAGTAGTTACTGTTTGATTTAATTGCGTCCCGTAGCAAACGTTTGCCAGTCGCCTCTCTCCCTCCAAATTCTCGCTCGCCACTCTCCCTTTCTCGCTCGCTCCCTCTGTGCTCGCCTCTCTCGCTTTATACAACAGAATTGTATAAAATTGTGTTTTTGTTTGTATAAAAGCGAGAGAAAATTGTATATACACATGCAAATACGTATATATTCGTCTTATACACTTATAATTATATAATAAAAATATTACCCTGCCTAGTTCTCTTTTGCCTTTCTCTCTTTTTCGTTTTATACAAACACATATTATACAAATATAATGTATAATTTATGTTTGAATAAAATGAAAGAGTGAGCGATTTTTGATATACAAATATTTTTGTCAACGATTTATACAAACGAGAGGCGAAAAACAATTTATACAAATGGCCTGCCAGCGAAATTATACAAATCTGAAGAGGAGCCAACGAATTATACAATTGCTTTTTTTTGTATATATGTAAAGCAAAATAGACATAGCTTTCAATTGTATATGTATAGCGAATTATACATATATATGATAACCTCTCATCATATAGAGTTTAAACGGCTCTTCATAAGAAATGTCATAGTATATAAATAGAGGAACAAGATGACTAGAACAAGACAGATTATATTGCAAACAAAGTAAGAGAGAAAATTAAAGGCATCCAGTAACACCTTCAGATCAGTAAGGCAGCAAAATCCGACGACTCCATTTTGGGACGAGGAGGTAATGCAGGAGGAGCGGCATATGTCATGTATCTATAGATACTAATACCAAAGCAGAAGCTCAAAGTGATGGCTCTAACCAACAATCGCCCGTTCACCATAAAGCAAAAGGCCTGCATTGCTAACCCCAAGATAACGTCTTTTCCATTAATATCATATGCTCTACGCATAAAATGAGCAACAACATAGAAGTATCCTGTGCAGCCTAGCAATAGAAAGAGATACCCATAATTGATCTCTAGAAAGTGCCATAACCCCGCATCATTCAACAAATTCAAACTCAAAGCTGCAGCAGTTAGGGCGGGAATGAAGTCGATCATAAATCTCCCTTTGGGGCCTATTGATCGGAAGGGAGTTCTATAGGGATACCAATAATTGTTCAACAAAGGGTAGAGTAGGACAACGGATTGAAATAAAATGTAGAAAAAGAAACCCAAATTGCAGATTACTATATTAAGATGTAAGGGAATAGCCACGAAATAATCAAACGCAACGCTCAAACAGTTTAGTGGAAAGCAACTAAAAACCCACCACAACAACTCCGCTGAAACAAAGAAAAAAACAACAACAAATCAGCATCGATTTTCAATCTCCAAAACCCTAATTCACAAATTAGAGAAGACTTACGGAGTAATCGACCATTATATACACAACTAATACATCCCCAAATCTCAAATACTGTCATATCATCTCGGCTCCGCGGAGATACGACAATTTCTTCTCCTCCTCCGTTTATCGGAAAACGAACATATATTTTGCTCTTCATCGGAGAATAAAAAGAAATTGCTTTTTCTTCATCCATCGGAAAACAAACAAATTCGCCGGTGACTGTGAATGATGAAATATCTACTACACCATTCTTAACCTTTCTCCAACTAGACTCTGGGAATTGGGAATAATCAGACCTAATAAATCTAATTTGCTGGTTAAGGCTCCAATATTTTCTTACAAATGTTATTTTTAAGTCTAAATAAAACTAGGGGTGGACGTTTGGTATTCGGTATGTGATTATCAAACTTTGGGTTCGCTAATTGGGAAATTAAGTTTCTATTTGATATGGTGTTTGATAATATCGTATTGAAGTTGTAGCATATTGTATTACAAAGTTAATATTATTTCTCCAATTATTTTTATTTTTTTTTTGGAAGCACGATATAATAGAAGATCAATAAATTGATACAATTAAAAGACATATATTTGAGTTGTTTATGTTTATTTTTTAACTTTCTCTTTCGACTTGTACTAATGAGTAATGGACATGTTGATATATGATCTTCATTAAATAAATAATTCGGTATTCAAGAAATACGAAATACCAAATGGTACTAATGACTCATACCAATTCCAAACCCGAATACAGTATTTTACTCCTGAATACCTAATTACCGAATATCAAATAACAAAAAAATTCAATTCAGTTCAATAATTCGATTTTCGATATTTCATGTCCAGTTCTAACTTTAATGCAAGCTTTAGACATCGAATGGAAAATATAAAAAAAAACCTCATGCTTCAATTTACTTGACCTATTTTGACTTGAATTTGAAAGGGGGTATACTTATGTCTTTTTTTTTTTTCAAGAATACCATAAATACTTTTCATATTTGTTTGTAAACTCTCCTGGGGGATAGGTAATACCTGGGATTGCCATTTATGATACTATGCAATTTGTGCGACCAGATATTCATACAATATGCATAGAATTAATTGCTTCAATGGGATCTTTTATCCTTGTCGGAGGACAACTTACCAAACGTATAACATTCCCTCATGTTTGGCACCAATGAGGTTTTTATTTGAGAGAAAAAAAAGAATACTATGCCTTCACCATATGAATACTAAGTAATAATAGCATGACACTCCGACTTCAATATGAGAAAAATTTGTATTTTTTTTCTTCGAAACATTAGATTTTGTATCGAGAGAGTAGTATTAGATAAGGGTTATTTCCAATTTTCTCTTATCTATTGGGAGTTCATTTCAGCGTCACAAACTTTTTTTTGTTTTTAATGCCAGAGAGTGGTTAACAATATTTATGTTATGAAAGAGTATGAAATTTTTTTCCTTATTCGATCGGGATTAAAACGAAACTTTGGGATAGATGAATCACAAACAAAACAATAAAATAAACATATAAAGCAATGGAGCCATCATAGTATTTTTGAACTCCGAAGAAAGGAAGGATGGCAACAATCTGTTTTCCTCTCAACACCAGGAGAAACTAAATCATACGGCAATAACAGTGCCTCTTTCATTTTCCATCTCATAAAGGTAAGCATTTTATCGTCTCTTCTATTTTCAAAGCAGCTGCATACAAAACCTTTGAAAGAAAAGGTTTTGTATCATTAAGGTTGGTGCGAAAATTGGCTTCCTGTGTCCATTTCTCAGCAGAGGGTTGTAGGCAAAGAAATTCTACACCGAATAATCTATATAATTGCTGTCAAAGTTTTAAAAAAAGAAGAAGAGCAAAAACACCCTGTTTCTTAGTGTAACTTTATAACTATTAGTAAATCACTAATACCATCAACTTGCAGCAACGCCATGTTTACAAACAGAAAGCTTCCGTAAGGAAATGGACAACAAAATAACCTCTCATCATATAGAGTTTAAACGGCTCTTCATAAGAAATGTCATATATAAATACATACGTTAGAGGCACAAGATGACTAGAACAAGACATATTATATTGCAAACAAAGTAAGAGCGAACATTACTGAAAATTTAAGGCATTCTAATAAATTATAGTACGTCCAAAATAACAACAAAAAAACAAGAAAGTTATATGAAAGGCATCCGCTAACACGTTCAGATCAGTAAGGCAGCATATCAGACGACTCCATCTTGGGACAGGGAGGTAATACAGGAGGAGCGGAATATGTCATGTATCTATAGATACTTATACCAAAGCAGAAGCACAAAGCGATGACTCTAACAAACAATATCCCCTTCATCACCATAAAGCAAAATACTTGCATTGCTAATCCCAATATAACGTCCTTTCCACTAATATCATACGCTCTACGCATAAAGTGAGAAATAAGGTAGAAATATCCCGTGCAGCCTAACAACAGAAAGATATACCCATAATTAAACTCTAGAAAGTGCCATAACCCCTTATCGTCCGCATCATTCAACAAATTGAAACTCAAAGCTGCAGCAGTTAGAGCGGGAATGAAGTCGATCATAAATTTCCCTTTGGGACCCATTGATCGGAATTGAGTTTTGTAGGGATACCAATAATTGTTCAACAAAGGGTAGAGCAGGACAATGGCTTGAAGTGTAATGTAGAAAAGGTTGGCCACACAGAAGATTACTACCATATGAATGGGAATAGGCATGAAATAATTGAACGCAATACTCAAACTATAGGGCGGGAAGCTACTAAAAACCCACCACAACAACTCCGCTGAAACAAAGAAAAAATCACAATTCAGCATCGATTTTCACAAAGGCATTCATTCAACTATTGAAAAGACTTAATTATTTGTTTTCAATCTCCAAATTTTAGCAAACCCTAATTCACAAATTAGAGAAGACTTACGGAGTAATCGACCATTATATACACAACTAATACATCCCCGAATCTCAAATACTGTCATATCATCTCGGCTCCGCGGAGATACAACAACTTCCTCTCCTCCTCCGTTTATCGGAAAATGAAAATATATTTTTTTGTTCATCGGAGAAACATCTTTTACTTCGTCCACCGGAAAAGAAACTGTGTTTTCTTCATCCACTGGAAAATAAACTGTTTTTTCTTCACCCATCGGAAAACAAACAAACAAACTCGCCGGCGAGATATTTATAAATAACTTTACCATCACCGTTATCCTTCTCCGACTATACTTTGGAAATTGGAATAGACACCAAATAAGTCTAATTTGTTAATTAAGACCCCAATATTTTCTTACAAATGTTATTTTAGTCTAATAAAATTTCTGCTTCAATATATTTAGTCTATTTTGATGTTTGTAATTTGTATGGTCAAACGGAAAAGATATTTTGAAATATTGGATCGAGTTCATATAATTTAATTTTTGAAAAGTAAAATATGTCAAATAAAAATATTTTGGTGCGTTCAGATACATTCATATACGTCTAAATACATGTATCTTGGGATAAATGAGGTCAAAATTAGGTTTAATTTGTTATAGATCTGTATTCAAGTGTGTTCACATATATATGGGATACATAACAAATTTTGTTTGCATCTCTCACCTCTCTCCCATCTTGCCCGTCAGTTTCCACTGTATCTGGTATCATAGATACATGCGATACACACTGTATACATTCATGTATCTAATGTGATTCGCATGTATCTAGGATACCTAACAAATCTCACTTGGCTTTCTCTCTCTCATATCGCTCGCCACTCTCCTATATATGTATTTGCTATCCTAGATATATGCAAATCACATTAGATATATACAAATATATGTATTTAGTGTGATTCACATGTATCTAAGATACATAATAAATTAAATCTCGCTCGCCTCCCTTCCCATCTCGCTCACTTCTCTTCCAAACAAGTTGAGACATTGTTGATCTTAAATAAGATTTAATCAATTTTAGTTTTGAAAAACTTGTTTCGACTAAGGCAACGGCTAACATTATTCTATGTTTCACCATCGTCTTAAAGATGAGCATCAAATAAAAATGGTGTACCTCCATTTCGGGCTCCCATGCTCTTAATAAATAAAACTTGCATTGGATGCAGTATGACAACGATATGTTTGGTCAAAGTTCAAGAAAATCCTTTGAAAAGAAAACTATTTTACGATGCTTTAAAAGCAAGACCGAGTGACTGTATAAATGTCTGAGTGATTTTATTGATACAAAATAAAGTTAAATGACTTTGCTAGATAAATTTTTAAAATTGAGTTATCTTTTGAGATATTAACTCATTATTGATGAGGTGTTGGATCCTTCGGCTCAACATTGATGGAGGATAAAAAACGAGTAGGATAATATTTTTTTAAAGTCCGAGCAACATAGTAACATTTACCATGTTTATTTGAGGTTACTAACTAATGTTCATCATACAAATTGGACAATTACCTAATCTAGTAAATGCTATGCTAGAATAGGTAAATACTAGTTTTAGGATATATATTTCTTCTTTAGAAAAAAATCCTTCAAATTTAATTAGAAAAAGATTTTTTTTTTCTTCCTACAAATGGAAAATTAAGGTATTAATTATTGGACCTTAATGACAGGATCAGTTGAATCATCAAGAAATTGAATTAAAATTTTATCAGCTGGCCAAGAAAGGTTACAAGCTGCAGTGCTGCTCCAATAGACAACTGATATACCTGCAAATGAACAATTCACAAGAAGATTATAACTAATTTGATAGTGTAAATGAATTTTTACACTATCAGATCATATAAAACATGAAGTATCGTAACATCTATATGTAACACATTCCTAAAAACTGAGATTAGTGAGTCGGAAAGTAAGACAACGCTACAACATGTTAACATACATTGATAGTATGAAAGTTAAATCCTTCAACAATTTCATTGATTAAGTTCAAGCCAAATATCAAAATTACAAATTGATATGTTCCAAAGTAAGTGTCACTTTCTCTAAACGAGAATCAATTTAACTAACCTTTAAAGCAAAATTATATTAGATCAACTCAATATTTTAAAACAAAATTGGGTATAGTTGAGTCATCGTTTGAGATATTATCTCAATATGAAAGGTTTTGTTGTACTAATTTTGTGTACTGATATTTCGTCAAAAGTGCATATACTTAAGTATTATTATTATCTTCGTTCTAATTTATGTGGCACAACTTAAATTTTGAATTTACATAAATTTCTCTGTGATGTATCTTTTGGCTTTTAATGAGTTAAAGATCAGAAACTAACATAATTGCATATTCTTTCTCTTTTCACGTTTCTTCCTAAAACAAATTGTAATAGCTTTTTATTTTTATTTTTATAACAATGGTGTTCAAATTAATTTTTTTGTGTGTATCTTGACTAAATACTTTGAATATATGACCAAACACTAGCTTAATACTTTGTCTTTTAAAGCTATGAGACTTTATGAATAATCCAAGCTGGGAGGTTAATTCCTTCCACTCTTATTATACTATTGTTGGTAAAACATGCGGTGAATCATTTCAATCAGGAGGAAAGTTACAGAAGACCTTTTAGTTCGACATTTCTGGAAAAAAAAAACAAATATGGTACATGTAAAATTCAATTATATTTACATGTAAACAGACGGTTGATATAATCTTACCTTTATATATATACTTGTCTTTCACTTTGTAAGAAGGAATGTCTACGATGTGCATCGAGCTATATTAGGTATCCTTTTACCCTTATGTGACTATCAGCTTTGGCCTGGTGGCAAGTTATATTTTTATTTGTCACGTTTTGCTTTCCTAGATTTATTCAATATTTTAAAATATTTTTTCATTATATTAATATGAGAAGTATTACATCTTATAGTATTCTTGAAAAAAAAAGAGGCATAAATACCCCTTTCAAACTATGACCAAATCCAAGTCAAAATAGGTCAAGTAAATTGAAGCACGAGAATTTTATTTTATTTTTTGACTTCTCCTATCCGATGTCCAAAACCTTCGTTAAAACCTCAACTAAATGGGGAGAAGTTTTATTTAGACATAAAGATAAGAAAATATTGGGACCTTAACTAACAAATTAGATTTATTAGGTCTGATTATTCCCAATTCCCAGAGTATAGTTGGAGAAAAGTTAAGAATGGTGTAGTAGATATTTCATCATTCAGTCACCGGCGAATTTGTTTGTTTTCCGATGGATGAAGAAAGAGCAATTTCTTTTTATTCTCCGATGAAGAGCAAAATATATGTTCGTTTTCCGATAAACGGAGGAGGAGAAGAAATTGTCGTATCTCCGCGGAGCCGAGATGATATGACAGTATTTGAGATTTGGGGATGTATTAGTTGTGTATATAATGGTCGATTAATCCGTAAGTCTTCTCTAATTTGTAAATTAGGGTTTGCTAAAATTTGGAGATTGAAAACCAAAATTAAGTCTTTTTAATATTGAATGACCCTTTGCTGTTGTTTGGAGATGCTGATTTGTTGTTTTTTCGTTTATTTCAGCGGAGTTGTTGTGGTGGGTTTTTAGTAGCTTTCCGCCCTATAGTTTGAGTATTGCGTTCAATTATTTCATGCCTATTCCCATTCATATGGTAGTAATCTTCTGTGTGGCCAACCTTTTCTACATTACACTTCAAGCCATTGTCCTGCTCTACCCTTTGTTGAACAATTATTGGTATCCCTACAAAACTCAATTCCGATCAATGGGTCCCAAAGGGAAATTTATGATCGACTTCATTCCCGCTCTAACTGCTGCAGCTTTGAGTTTCAATTTGTTGAATGATGCGGACGATAAGGGGTTATGGCACTTTCTAGAGTTTAATTATGGATATATCTTTCTGCTGTTTGGCTGCACGGGATATTTCTACCTTATTTCTCACTTTATGCGTAGAGCGTATGATATTAGTGGAAAAGATGTTATGTTGGGATTAGCAATGCAGGTCTTTTGCTTTATGGTGAAGGGGAAATTGTTTGTTAGAGTCATCGCTTTGTGCTTCTGCTTTGGTATAAGTATCTATAGATACATGACATATTCCGCTCCTCCTGCATTACCTCCTCGTCCCAAGATGGAGTCGTCTGATATGCTGTCTTACTGATACCTCCTCGTCCCAAGATGGAGTCGTCTTACTGATCTGAAGGGTTTTAGCGGAAGCCTTTCATAAAACTTCCTTTTTTTTCTGTTGTTATTTTGGACATACTCTAATTCATTAGAATGCCTTTAATTTTCAGTAATGTTCTCTCTTTACTTTGTTTGCAATATAATCTGTCTTGTTCTAGTCATGTTGTGCCTCTAACGTATGTATTTATAAATGACATTTCTTATGAAGAGCTGTTTAAACTCTACATGATGAGAGGTTATTTTGCTGTCCATTTTCCTTACCGAAGCTTATTGTTTGTAAACTTGGCGTTGCTGCAAGCTGATGGTATTAGTGATTTACTAATAGTTATGAAGTTACACTGAGAAACAGGGTGTTTTTGCTCTCTTTTTTTTTTTTTTTTAACTTTGGGAAATTAAAATAAGACCTCAATCATGATTAGTCCAAAGAGTCCCTAAAGCTAAATGGACCACTGAAAATCTATTGACAGGATGGAGTATGCAGCTAACAAATGATAGCTCTTGTATTCCTAGTACCATGAGAGCAAAGAATGCTTGATAAGACTCCCATAGGTCATCAAATCTACAAATGCAGATCATGTGTCACACTACTTCCTCTTCGTCCAAGGGTGTAAGCCGCCTCCTTTTCACATTGTGTTGAGGATCTGCTTCTGAGCCAGAACCACTATCAATGAGCAACAAGCTTTTACAGGCAAGGTTGACATTTCCATGGATATCATATGGGTTCTCCTGGTCGAAGGTGACAGGACCAGTACCACTGTTATCATGTGCCAAAGTCATGTCCAGCAGTTCGCCAGGAGTGGCATGTCCATCAACCAAACAGTCAATACTCGACTTTGGATGATCTGTTTTCTCATCTGAACTCATATTTCGATCTACTTTGCAAAGTTCAACAGGGTCACGGACTGAAGTAGTTGGTGATGAGCCCAATTCCTCATCCACATCTTGGACAACTGACACACTTGGGATCCAGGAGCAGGAGACCCAGATGAATATGAAAAGGCACAGGGTTCAGATCCATTCCCACCCAGATGCAGAAGGCCTGTGTCAGTTGCTGTGTACACAAGATGATCTCTTGCTGTATTGGTGAACTCCTGAATTCGTTAAAAGATACTGCGTGACCAAAACACATGTCAAGCAAAGGTTCTTCATCAGATTCAGACTCAAAAGAATCATTTAAAACAGAAGCCTGAATCATTAGCACAAACACTGAGAGAGGAAGTAGGAGGGAATGGGTTTATCTCAATAGCGATAAATTGTCTCTCAACTCTTTGATGAACCAAGTTGATCAGATACTAATTCTAAAGCATTGCTTGTCTTGAGACCACCTTCATCATCATATGTCTTCAACTTGAAAGCGAATGCAAAAAGCTCCTGAATCCTCATTCATTATTGACCTCAACACAATTACTGGAAAAGGTTACTGTAGTATCTGTCACTATGTAGGATGTTCCTTGATAATGGGGACAGAAAACGATTGGGCGGTTCCCCAGTGGTGATTTGATAATGGTCCATCTAAAATGTCATGATTTTCTGGAGTAGGATGCCGATTCCTCACTTGAGCTTTCATCAACATCAGAAATCGCACCAACGCATGAACTTCCTAACTCTAATGTCATTGTTAGGCTCTCTGTCAGGATATCGTCTTTTGTTTGTTGAAGTAATTTTTGGCATTCTGTCATCACTGCATCCAGACTTGACAGAGCACGGTTACCATTGAAATCACTGTCAGCACGGTTACCATTTTCAGTGATTGTATAGTTGTTGCAAAACCTCGGCTGCTGCTCCTCTGCTTTGAACCCAAAAACATCCATAGCTGCTTCTTTGAAACTGTTGATTACAAAGATGTTTATATGGTCTTGCATGTTTCTTTACTTTGCTCACAAATGTGTTCCCTCGGCTATATTAGAACCCCCGAAGTGTTTTGTCACATCTTGAGTAACTTGGGCAGTGAGTTCATATAATTCTCCTCTTGTATATTTTACTTGTATGTTGTCTTGCTACCATTTAAGTAAGATGAAATATACCAAAGCAAAAGCTCAAAGCTGCGGAGACGTATTGAAGTGTCATGTAGACAAAGAGGACGATGATGGAACCACAAAGAAGACGACCATATCAAGATTCAGGGGATAGATAGATAGATATCCCATAGAAAATAATTACTCTAGTTGGAAGGCAATGAACATACGAAAATTAAGGCATTAAGAATGAAGTCATCATATTGGAGCAAATTTGTGTGTTTGTAAAGTTAGATTAAGCATGTATAAAAATGCAATATTTCTGGTATGAACATGTAATGGTTCTTTTCAACTTATTTTGAAAATTAAAGATTTAAGATGGATGGCTCAAATTCTGTGGCACTCTTGTAGAAGACATCACCCAATGTTACTTTCTATTAGTTCAGTGACTGCAACCAAAGCTTCAAGATGCACAAGTGGCCTTGAAAATTTCCCAATCTTACACTCAAAGTTGAAAGGCAACAGAAGAGACGAGCCAAGTTCTGATGAACGAAGCACACTCGTACAAGTGACATCCACCATCTAGAGACCCCTCAGTACAACCTGATCAATTATGTACGTCTCCACAATACAATACAATATAAGCCAAGAACACACTAAACTATATAGATAAACAGAATCCTCCACAATACAAAGATGAGATAAGCCAAGAACACACTAAACTACATAGATAAACAGAATCGCGCAATTGAAATCCAAATATCAACCTTTTATCAATTGTCACTCACTTCCTAATTAATTAGTCATAAACTATATTAGTACTAAGCAAACATTAATAAAACAACTTCACCATCAAACTTGAACCGCAACCTCCCTAGCAATCCGCATTCGCACTTCCCTATCAACGAGGTATCTGATGATGAGTATCGCTACACAAGCTATCCCAGTCCTAGCCCATATCAGTATCTCAGCATCCTCATTCTCCCACGACAATTTCACAGTAGCCCCGATTAAAATATTCAACAACCCAAAATCGGTTGTAATAGGCGCAATAAACATCAACATAAATGCAAAAGATATAGTTCCAAGCAAAGCAGCAAACAATGCTAGATTCTTATACTCTCCTTCGAGTACAGGCAGCGCTAATATGCCTACAGCAGGTCCTACCAACAAACCTGCACGGCTTATCTCAACATGCATAGGGACAACTCCAATACAACCTATTTTTTGGAGACCAATATACATGGTAAAGAAAGCATGAAGAACATAAATTCCTAACCCAACTATAACCTTCCAACCAAACCATTTCTTCTCTTGAATGCAATGCGCACAAAAACAACTAAAACTACCTACACAGCATAAAAAAGAAATTATACCACATACGACTTCCTGTTTGTTGAACATTTGCATTTTAGCTGATGGGTGTGGCTCCATGCTTGAAAAGATTCAACCTTTGAAAATAAAAATCGAAACTTTGAAGTTGAAGAGTGAAACCTAAAGATCGAAACTTTATATGAAACTTATGGGTGTGCGTGTACCTCCATGCATACTTGAAAAAGTTTCAATCTTTGAATGAAAAAACAAGAAAATGCAAACTTTACATTGACACTAAAATAATGGAAACTTCAAAAATGGAAGCTCTGTAAACGGAAACAAGCAGTATAAATGAAGAACATGGAGTAATTTCTTCTTATTTCATTTGGTCGAAAATACCCTTTTAACTATTCAAAATTATCAACCTTACTACTTTAAGCTTCTTCTTTTCTTAATTCTATTTTGTTTATTTAAAGAAAATTAGATTGTTTATTTAAATAAATTGTACAACAAATTTACAAAAAAATAATATATAATAATCTTATATTTACGATGTTTCATTTTTTTTTTTATGGCTTATGCATATATGACTTGAATTTCAGTTATTTTTGTATGAATTTTTCAATTCGTTAGATGTGGATATGAACCGTTGATATGTATCACAATTTAGCAGTTATACTCTATCACGTCATTTAAAAGATATTTATAGGATCATAATTTTGAAAACAAGGTAGACAATAAGAAATAAATGTTTTTTATATAATTTGTGTATATAAGTCAATCCTTAAGTTATATGTACCGACACAATCAATATAGCTTAAAATGTGATAGAAGGTCACTTACGAGGTATATTACTCAGACTCTTAAAATATATTGTTGATGAGGTGTTGGATCATTCAGCTCAACATTGTTGGAGGATTAGAAACGAGAACGACAATATTTTTTGAAAATATTTCCTAGTTAGAAAAAACTATTTAAATTTTATTAGAAAAATAATTTTTTTTCTTCCTACATATGGAACATTAAGGTATTAATTGGACCTTAATGACATGATTAGTTGAATCATCAAGAACTTGAATTAAAATCTATCAGCTGGCCATGAAAGGTAACACACACCTCCGAGAGTTATTTTTTCAGTGGTGTTCGAGTTAATTTATTTGCATGTATCTTGACTATTTACTCTGAATATATGATCAAACGCTAGCTTAATAGTTTATCTTTTAAAGCTATGAGATTTTTTGAATAATACGAGCTGGGAGGTTAACTCCTTCCACTCTCAACCGCTTTTGGTTATCTTATTAGTAGCTCTATCTATTGGTACCACTTCGGGAACTCCCTCTTTGTGAGCTACTTACACTTCGGCTCAAAGCAAATAGGCTGGCAATTTTGAAGCAAACGGAGAATTCTTTAACTGTTTGATATCAACATCTTTTCCTACCTCCAACTGTTCCCCTTACATAGCAAGATAATCAACTAACCGAAAATTCATCTTTAGCGTCTCGTCCTATGAATGATAGCCTTCTTTCTAAAGAAAAAAATCTCAACAAAACATTATCTTTCTTTCTGATAGAAGGATGGCAAAGAAGTAGTATCAATATCAAATATGTGCATTTAAACAAGAAATTTGAAGTGAAAAGTGCATCTAAGACTGACAAAACTAGCTTACAACAAGAGTCCCTCCCCTTTTACAAAAATTCACAACAGGAGGGATAAAGAAAAGCTTACAAATCATCAAAACCAAAAATTATACCAACAAGAAAGATTGAAAAATAAGAAAAGAAAAAAAAAACTGCTAACTTCAAATCTGGTGTTAGAATTTTCTTCTAGCTATACATCCCAACCATCCATCCGACGATTAAATTCCGACTTACGATTGGTTATGCTTCCATACATTTCAGAGAATTTTTGAAGGCAACTGCTCCGAAGGCCATAGTGAATCTGCGTATTCTTGCTAATCGCGACACCAGTGA